GAGAGTGGGGGTGGTGGAGGTGAATATTTGTTTATAGGACTGTGATTGGGGTTAGAGGTTCAGGAAGCAGGAAGTTCAGTGGCAGGTGTGGAGGCCTCGGGAGGGGGTGGGCCATAGCGAAGCTGGGCTGTTGAAAAATCCTGAGTGGACGACATTTAGGAACTGTTGGAGCATCAAGAACTCATTGAATTTGTGAGTGGAAAGTTCTCGTGTGGGTGTGTCCTCTTTAAGCTCCAGGCCCTAGACTCGGTTCTCTATGGGCAGCCTCTTCAGCCTTATCCTTCAGAGAGTGTTTGATAATTCTTGGAGGTGCAGATTCCTGTCAAAAGCAAACATACGAGGGCTAGAAGCACAAGCTCATTCATTCATTTATTCTCTCTCCAGGTATTTACTGAGTCTCTACTAGGTTCCAGGCACTATTCTAGCCTCAGGGATATAGCATTGAACATGGCACAGCCCCTGCCCTCACTCAGCTCACATTCTAGCAGGGAGACAATTATTAAACTTGCTAACAATAGATGTGTAATATAATTTCAGGTTGTTACAGGGTTATGAAGAAAAACAAAAGAGATGATGTTAGAGAGTGACTGTCTTAGACTGAGCGTCAGGGATGGTCACCCTGAGGAGGGGACGTCTGAGTAGAGACCTGAATGAAGTCGGGAGTGAGGTTGGCAGAGCTTGGTGGGGAGCGAAGCCCAGGCAGAGTGATGGGGCCATGTCCTGACTTCATTCCAGGAGACTATTGGGCCCATGGCTGTCTTCATGGCTGTTGTGGGAGATGAGCTCTATTTCGGGATTGGCACTGACTCACTGCTGAAGTATTGGGCAACTGACTCCCTACTCTGAGATTATTTCTAACTGTAAAAAGAGGATCTTCATAGCCACCTCTGTTTTACAAGAATCTCATGAGACTTGGTCAGTGTCTGTCTAGAAAATATTGTTATTACACAAAAATTTTATTTACCTCCTGTAAAAGCTAAGGGGGAAATGGTTAGTAACTAACCCAGCTGTGCTCTTGGGGAGCAAAATGTGGTCTGGTTCACTCAGTGCTGACACTTAGTTTGACCCCCTAAAAATGGCTTTGAATTACTGCTGATTTTCTTGATTTTAGTGCACTGGTGAGCTCCAGATTAAGAGCCCAAAGTCCTAGGTTCTTGTCCCCATTCTATTGCCGACAACCTGTAGGGTCCTAGGCAATTCACTTAACTTTTACCTCAGTCTATCACCTATAAAATGGGTATAATAATCAAAAGAGATGATGCTGTTTGCCCTACAAAGGCTATACACATAAATGTGAGTGATTACTGTTATTAAAGTGGAAACCTAGGGATGGCCCATTTTGCCCAGGGGGTCCCAACTTTGCTGAAGTGTATCCATGGATCTCCTGGAGAGCAGCAGGAGGCCTAGGAGTTTGGTCTATGAGAAATATGTAGTTTTCTCCTTAGTTTCATGTTATCTGTGTTCAGCATGGTGTCTGGGGCCCAGGAGAGTTTATTTAGGTGGCAGAAAATCAGTGAAAAAGTCTCAGAGGAAAGCAGAGAAATGCTGGGACTTTGGGACCCAAACCAGGCCAAAAAAGCCCCAGAGGAAGGACAGTCTTTGGAGCACTTCCTTTCCTCTCTCTCCCATGAACATTTACTGAGCTCCTACTGTGTGCCCACACCATGCTAATGTCTCTAAGTCAGTTTGTGAGCGGCCCTAGCCCTAACTCTATGCTGAATGGGTGGTGCACAGCCGTGCAGGGACCTGACTGGACCAAGCCCAATGCTGGCAGGTCCCGGCTTGTGAGTCAGAGTGCGGTCGGCTGCCTGCTCCGAGTATCTCCCACAGCCTGCCGAGATTCTTCTGACCTGGTCTGAGACGCCTTCCCTTAGTGAGTGCTGGTTATTGTTCCAGCCACTTGGTGAGTGGTAATTATCTTATTCTTCCCAGCAGCTCACTGGGGTCAGGACCATTGTTATATCATTCCACAGAAGAGGAAACTGAGGTTTGCTCCCTTGTACAAAGTCACATGGTGAGTTAGCGTCAGAGCCTAGACAGCCCAGCCCCTCCACCTTCCAAAAGCCAGCACTGCAGCTCTTCTTCCCACCCTCCTCTAGGCTCCTGGAATCACGCTGCTTGTGCACATGTACACCCACACACATCAAAACCCGGAAGGTGGGCTTCCCTGGTGGCGCAGTGGTTGGGAGTCCGCCTGCCGTTGCAGGGGACGCGGGTTCGTGCCGCAGTCTGGGAGGATCCCGCATGCCGCGGAGCGGCTGGGCCCGTGAGCCATGGCCGCAGAGCCTGCGCGTCTGGAGCCTGTGCTCCGCAATGGGAGAGGCCACAACAGTGAGAGGCCCGCGTATCGCCAAAAAAAAAAAAAAACCCAGAAGGGTGTGAGAATTTACCTACTTCTGGGGTGGCCTGTAACTAAGACTGTCACAAGGTGCTGGAGTATCACAGCCCAGCTTCTTTGCCTCTTTTGGGGACAATTCTGGAATGTGTTCTCCAGAGGTCCCTTGCAGGACTAGGCCAAAGTGACTTTCTGTATGACTTCTGTTTTGCTTGGCCTCCTCCCCTCCCTCATCTTGCTCCCCCATTCCCCTATAACACATCACTAGCTATTGAGGGTTGGCTTCAGGGGATTCCAGACACCCAGTTAAGTATTGGCTGAGCTGGGCTAGGATGTTATTCAGTGACTGATTCCAAGAGAATTCAGAAGCTGTGTCTAGCAGTGACAGCCTGATCAAGAGTCCAAATGATCCCAGAGATCCCAATAATCATGTCACATGGGACCCCCAAAATACATGGGCTTCAGAAGAGCCCCTTGAAGTGCAAGGCATTGAATGAGACAATTTATATACCTATCTCATTTAATATCAAAACATCTCTACAGTAGACTTTTTCAGTTTTCATTAGAATGTTTGAGATCATGCAGATTCAACAAAATTCACCTTTTACTGATTTTAAAATCACATTTTAGATGAAGGGGTACTTCTAAATTTCACTTTGGTAGGATTCCACTGATATGTTGCCTCAGTTACATGAAGCTTCATTTTAACCCATCATCACTGCCCACCCTCTCCTGCTAAATGTCCTGTTACTCATATATTCATGTACACGACATTCATGTGGGTAACATTCACTTTACCCCCTGAGATGATTGCAGACCTGGGTGACCCAACAGCAGAGTTCAGGACTGATGCTCTGGAGCTGCGCTGCCTACTACAGTGGTCACTAGCCACATGTGGCTATTGAGCGTATGAATTATGGCTGGTCTGGATCGAGATGTGCTTTAAGTGTAAGGTATACCTGAGGGATTTTGAAGACTTAGTATGAAAAAAAAAATGTAAATTATCTCATTAATAACCAAAAATATTTACTACCTGTTGACATGATAATATTTCTGTATGTATTAGGTTAAATAAAAGATTAAAATTAATTTTATCTCTTATTTTTTATGTAAAAATTATGGTTACTAGAAAATCTTAAATTACACATACAGCTTGCATCATATTTCTATTGGGCAGCTCTGCTCTAGAGACTCAAAGGGAGGTTTAGGGAGTGAGGTTGTCCGACTCCTCCCAGGAAGACAGGCTGAGCTGAGAAGAAATTGTGTGGTTGCTGTAATGGCAGGGTTTGCTGTGGAATCAGGAGGCAGCCAGGTGAGTGCTTCATGACCTCACTTTACATGTGTGGTTCCACAGATGGCTCTGTGCCCCTCTAGCCAAGAGACTTTATGGCTGAAAAAACTGGCTTGTAAATCAGTCGTCTGCCCAAATGACACCACTGCTCCTCTGGTTCCAGGCTGGCATTTGTTAACTTTGCAGAATTCACATTTGCTCTCTGTGTCATGCTATCATATTCTTGTTGGGGAGGGGGCAGAGGCCAGCTGAGAGAGGAGAGAAGAGGAGGGAGAAGGGTAGGAAGATTATTATTGATTAAAAAAAAGACAGGGGTCTTCCCTGGTGGCGCAGTGGTTGATAGTCCGCCTGCCAATGCAGGGGACACGGGTTCGTGCCCCGGTCCGGGAAGATCCCA